AAAAAGAGTGCAGAGCACTTGCCTTTAACAAATAGTGAAAGGCAATGCATGCATAAAAAAAAATTGTCGCATCTAAATGCTCATCAAATGAGGAGTCATGACTTACCGAAAGTAATAAGAAAACTGTGATTAGATCCATATTTCTCATTCCATTCATGTCCACCGGTGTCTGTTAGATTCGTTGAAATTTAAATGGGACAATTTTGGCGGCATTTATTTTGCCCTTTGCATTTTGCTATCAAGAAAATAAAACATTAAGGTCTATTCCATACTGCTGTATAACGATTCTCTTATTCGCTTTAAGTGTTGCTTCTGACCAGCACTGATTCTGCCAACAATCCTTCCATGGTTCAAATTCAAGCTAATGGATTTGAATCGTAGACTGAGGAAAACACTAAAAATTTACTATATCCGGTGGCATCGCTAGAGCTTCAAGGGGACTGAGGAATGAACCGAACGGAGTTTGATGTCTCTGCACTGTCAGAAGTAAACTCAGCTAGGCACTTTTTATGCAATTATTTCAGGTATATTAGGTTCCAAGGCTGTAGAGTTTGCACGCATTGTTATCTGACTGACAAAAAGCTATTCGGTGTTTAACTTTTCTTACTCCACAAAGCGAATGACTATTAAAAGTGGAAGTTGCTGTTACCGCATGCCTGCTTTTTCCTCTTGAATGCACTTATTAAATGCGTCCAGGGAAATTTGGATGAGAGTCCTCCTCATCAGTGCTGGGCGGAAAAGTATTGTCTTGCAAGCCACGTGACACTTCTACTTCTACCTCGGGTTACAGGATGCGATATTCGTAGTGATCGTAGCGCTAAACTTTGAATTCCTTTCCCTATTTTAGCACCGACTTTCCTTTTTGATTTGATTATATGAAAGCATGAGTCAAACTTTCTCAACTTGGCTAGTAGACAGGTGAATCATTACCACACGATAAATAGAAACACCTCTCCCATTCTCAATGGTTAAATGTTGTGGACGAGGTATGAATAATAAACTGACACAATGCCAGAAACGATGTAAAAGTACTAAATGTATGCTATTGTGACAGGAGGAGAAGCAGAATACGGAGCAACTTGCGGAAGAGCTGGAGTCACGCGTCGTGCAGCAGTCAAATCCGTACCTGTTCGAGGCCTCAGCAACAACTGTAGGCAGCGGCCGAGGGAGTACCATCGCTGCCTCGGTGCCTCCGCACCTCCCCGGTTTCGGCCCCACGGGCTGGTCGCCGCCACCCTCTCCGCTTACGGGTCGAGTAGGCACTCCTACCACGTTGCATACCGTCATGACCACCGGTTATGGAGGCGCCATGACCTCTGCCCATCGTGCAACCGTTACCGCCTCAACCCACCACTCTTATGCGATGGGGCGCTCAGGTCCCCTCTTCCCCGGTGGCACTCCCGCTCCACAGCGCGCCAACTCGGCCATGGCACAGCTCCTCTGCCAAGTTAGTACTCTCATTTTCTCCTCTCTTTTAGGGCTTTAATACACCTCTTAACCTCGCAACATTGAAAGGCCTTGTTTACTGGATTCTATTTGAACGCACTTGGTTATTTTTAAAACTGCGCTGGAATGAGTCTGAACTCAACATTTTTTTCCAACATTTCGAAATTTCCAGCTCTAGTCAACCTCAGTATAAAAGGAGGAGTGGAAGAAACCAAAGCTTTGTTAAATGCATTCATTATCTTCTAAACCTGGTAATCTTTATTTATTTGCATCACTAAGCCCTATTTTAGTCCTACTACATATACTTATTGAGCGCTTGAAATAACTTTTATACTTTCCTCCACCCTAAGTGTTTGAGAGCCTCTCTATACTACCTTTATAAGATTGGTCTCCTACGCATTGATGGCGGTTCCTTTGCCTGCACCTTCGCACTTTGATCGAATGATCATGCTTACTCATTCAACCCATAAAACGTAATTTTCAGCCACAGGTACTAAACGAGTATGACGGTGTCGCACCATCCGAGAGTCACTTTCAACGCCAGCGTTCGAACCCTGAGACAGTGCAGAGACAGAGCTTAACTACCATGAATAGTAACCCGCAGGAGAGTCCCTATGAATTTGGTCCGGACAACGTTAGCATCAGTCAGTTGCAGGTGTGGAGACCGGAGAACAACGGCGAGAAGGTACACACGTCTTGGCTTGAAGACGCATCCTCTATCGCCGTACTTATCCTGCCGTTGCTAGCATTGCCACTGCATCATGCGCTCCACCTTTGTTGAACGCAGGCTGTCCCGTGTGACCCTTTGCAGCATGCCATTGCAGGCCACCAGCACGATACGCACGCACTCTAACTGCACGCGCTAGAAGACGTTTTCACACCCACAGTTTTGTAACCGTCTTATCTTTTATAGCCTTTGAAATGTTCTTCAAGGCCCTCACCCATAGTTAATAGGCGCCTAAAGTTTCATTCGAAAGTCTTGTCGACTTGGTTGGGCGATAGTATGGCTGGATGATATTCAATTCGAATAAATGAATGCCTGAAATAATTGAGACAAGGAAGTCGCTAGTGTCCTTGACCAAATCTTGTTTCGCAAATGCGCTTACTATACCACGGAGTATTAAAAAAATAAATTCACTCGCCTGTTTGCTTTTGGTAAGGAACTACTGAATGTGTGTTGAATTGATTGCTTGCTTAATGCACTCGATCATTTCAAGAGACAAGCAATTTAGTGTAACAGCAAGGGAAGGTTGACTGCCAACAGTACGCTATCGCATTGGCGTTTGGTGAACCTCTAGTCTTGCTCCGCATTGAAAGCGGATGCGCTCCGCTCTCACGCCGTCGGGCTTTTTCTTCTCCACATTTGTTGCGAATTATAAGCACGCCTGCTTCCTTCCATTTTGGAAAGCTATGCGATCCTTTATTTAAGAAAATGTTTTCAAGATCCACTGCAATTAATCACACCACGAATTTGGAAGAAGGTTTTGAAAAATAGTTACACAATTTTCACCTCTTGGTGTCTTGTTGGACAGGTCTTAGCCTTCCGGGTGTGCACGCGCCGTGATGCAGATTTTGTAGGACTGAGGGTTGGTTTACTTACAAATAGTTTGGGATTCATGCTGTAACAAAGTCATCCAATAGAGTAATTACTTACATCCGGTAACGCAAGTCTCCTGATCATTTCAAGTTATAATAGCACATAATTCCATGTCTAAATTTTATTTTTTTTTATGCGAAACATTGCATTCACGAGGTACTTTAGTTTTCGCTTGAAGGTGCCTCGAAAATTAATGTTGCACGTATCTTGGTCGTTTTCACCAAAAAATCTACAGAAATTTCTCCGGACGAAAAACATCTAAATTTTTAATGCTTTCCTGTTACTCCTCTGCTCACAAAAACCGTAAGTCTGTTCTGGTTACGAAATCCTTAGTCTCTTGGGACGAGTTATAACCACCTCAGCCCATTGATTAATCCCATTTTGGCATAGTTCGCTCTCATCTCTCCTTTTGAACCTATCACCCACTCGTAAATGCTCCACTGCACTTAACCTAACCTTACTTCCGACATCCATGTGTAATTTATTATGCGTGGGGATGAATGTCTCCCCTTTAGGTTCCTGAAGACCTCTCCTACCCCGTTCAGAGGGCTTCAAGCAGTCTGGGTCAGGCCTATCCCAATCAATCAATAAACGGCGTCAGTGCTCCCTCTCCTTTGAGACAACCTAGTACTCCTAGCACTACTCGTATGTTGTAAGTTACAACTTACTGCCTTTTCTAAATTTTAATATTTGATACACCCAATGTCTCAGTTACATGTGCCGTGAGCTGAACGCTGTCGGCGAGTCCATTGTTTTCTCGAGATTTCTACAATTCTTTTGAAAGGCGACCAGTTCAACATTGGAATTCTTGCAAAACTTGCGTAGCATAATTATGATTTCGAATGAAAATGTCGTCTAAGGCTTTTTTCGTATAAATCAACCAATACATCCTATCTACGGGAGTTTTGGGGGATATTGAAGTTCTGTCGGATTGATTTGGGCTATGTACAAACATATCTCATTGATAATGATTGTGATCCTTCACGTGCTTATGTACGCACGTGAACAATGTGCGCTTCTAACACCTCTTACCAACTCCGGTCCATTGTGCGAGCAGTAGCGGCCCTAATCGCAGCCTCCAGCATCTGATGGAAGTGGAGGCTCTGAGACTGAATGAGAGCGGCCGCCCCAACTCGGCCAGTCCGGTGCCGCCCAAACCCCAAATCCGCGTTCCCCTTGGGACTCTTGCGCAGCCTTCCGCTTCCCCTGAGCCACCTTCAGGCTCCAGTCACCGGCGCCACTCCGTCCCCTCTTATCGCATTGCTGTCTCCGGTAGTGCGGTGCCCCCTAGGTACCGCTTATGAAACAATACACATTGAAGCACGCACGCGCTACCATCGATCCGGATCAGTAGCGTCTAACGCGGAATGATTAGCTCTTGCATGGATGGCTTTCCGCGGAAAGCATGAACCGTTTTAGATGCTGTAATGCTATCTGAATGGCGCATTCTCTTATTATTTATGGGCAAGATCTCACTGGGCACAAGCAGTGCCTAGTGTCCACCAACCCCAATTACTTTTATCCCCCCTTTTGAAATACGGAAAGCGTATCAGGAATGCAATAGATTACCGACAAACGCCTCTGACAAAATAAATGAGGAACACTTTTATCATGATTTGGGCAGTAGATTTTGAAAATTGTTTATCAAAAGTTTTACTTTGATCTGGCTGAATAATTTGTCCATGTAAACTTCTTTTGCTGAGCTGATAATTTTGTACGCCTCTCTGCATGTTGATTCCGAAGTTTAAATTACCTAGAGCTTTGGACCGATAACCCACTTTTCTGACAATATACGGCTTCATTTAGACCTCCTTTTAGGGCTCCCATGGGAAATGTGCCGGTGGCCACTTCTGGAGCGCTGTTAGAGAGCCCCGGTTCTAGTGCATCTTCAAAGTCTGATCCTACGGTTGCGAATACACCAAAGCAACTCGCTCCAGGTGGTCTTGTGCCCGCCTCCTCGCCATACAACACTCATTTTCCGCATGAAGGCGATGTGCCTTTGATCAGCACGCACCTACACCACCAACTCCTTCCCACTTCCACCGCCTTTTCTACCATTACTTCTACTACCACCATGCCCTCCACTCTCGGAGGTGGCAAACCAATGATGCTTCAGCGTGTTGGACAAGCCGCGTCTCAGTTCGCACCATCGCCCACACCGAGCAAGAAAAAGTCGATCACCGGCACCCTCGGTCGGATCTTCAAGCGTAGTGGAAAGGACCAACCGCAAATTGGGCTACCACAGAGTCCCATAATTCATCACCAACAGCGACTCACTTCCACTTCACCATCTTTGGGCATCGCCTATAATCCACAGGCCGCGGCTCAGCTCCAACAAAAACAGCTACTACAGCAGCAACAACAACAGCATTTGCAGTTCCTTCGACACAAGGAGATGCAGCAACAACACCTTTATCAGCTGGCGCAACAGAGGCAACAACAACAGCAACAGGGCGAAAAACAGACTCCCTATGGTATGCAGTAATACTGTAATTCCATTTTTGCTAATTAAATAAGGAATATCATTAGCATACACAAAGAAGAGGAGACATGAAATAGAAGGCACCAAATACCGTGAAATGATGGGATTGTTTTGTGCACACCTATCTCGTTGGATGACCTTAGCTGAACTAGAAAAGCAGCCCAACACTCCTTTACAAAGCGTATTTGTGTCACTCAAAGACGCATTCCTGTAATTGAAGTGCTGAGAATCCACTCTGATAGGTCAAACTTCTGCGGCAATGGTAAGTGTCGAGCGCCCAAATATACGAATTTCGGTGAAGGTGTATGTGGGACTACCCATATATAAGCCCGTCATTCAATCAGTCGATGTACTGGCCGTGGGAAATTTTACATACAATAAACACACGGATTTTAGTTTTCACCTTGTGGTTGAGTAATTGCGTGTATATTATCGGTTATGAGCCGATTTTTGTAAGTAACGAGGGAATAAAGACCCACCAAACAACACAAGGTCCATTTTGTTCGTACTGCAGTGGTCTCAGGCAGTTGCAAGCAGCACAGTTGGGACAACGGACCAGCCAAGAAACCTCTTTGTTTTTTGCAATGGTGGTGCAGTGGTTGTGGCAACACTTATAAATATTAGATCACTCTCTCCTCCTACCAGATGCATGATCATTCACCAGAATCCAAGACTGTCCTCAGTTAGATCTGCTTTCTTGTTAACCTCTCGACCAAGTAGTCACAAATAATTTTTTTGAAAAAAGATGACTAACTTCCAATTTTTTGGCCTACTGCAACAGTTTTGTGTTTGATCTCCGCCTAGGCCTGACTGCCTGTTCTCCTGGTTCCTCATCCCCTCTCGGTTGGGGTTAATTTGAGTCGCAATTTGAAATGTCCTTCCTGTCAGTAGCAGTGGCTGTGTGATTGTAAAGGTAGTGTCTCCTGACTCGTAGCCGTACTTTTCGTGTGACATGCAGAAATTTACCAATCAATTACTATGTGACATGCTGCATTGCAGAAAATTGTAAGACCACTAAAATGATTGCCTTTTTTACTTGCAGAAGGAAATTCTTTTGGATTAAACTCAAACCTATGCAGTAACTTAACACCGTATTTTTCGACTTGCGTTTCACCCCAGACGCTAAAATGCTTTGTTAAATTGCAAACTTGCATTCCTTCAACACAGCAGTAGTCCATTCCTTGGTTTAAAGTCGCCGTCTCGCAAACAATCTGCGATTCTCGTACCGTCGTATTTGGCACAATGTGTGACCGTTTGAAGTTTTTCGGCTGTATTTCTCTTCAAATTAATAGCTGTCTGTCCTTCTAAGGTTTAACTCGTCTGCAGAAAACCATTGGCAATTCTGTCACTTGTCATTGTTTCTCTTAACTCTGGTGACTGCTGTTAAAGTACCACGGAAGCTATTTTGGTTTTGGAATTGTATACTTACCAATTCTAGAGTAGGGAGGATAAGTTACCTTTTTCTAATCCCAATTAGAAATTTGAATTACAATTACTAAGTGTCTATTATCACGCAATTTTGTGTACCTTAGAGGTGTGGAGGTCTTTTGCCATGCAACCTGTGTTAGTTATGCCAAGCATGCGACCGATGGTGCATGCAGTTTTGTGAATAAAGTTGAGAGAGTGGCGCGGCAGCTTTAATTAACGCAACTCATTATCGCCGGGTCTGTTGCAAGTTCAAGCCATGTACTGCCACACTCACACGCATTTCGATATACGTATGAGGCTATCGTTCTCTTGCTCACTCAGACGCTGCACTTCCTCCCTTGCTCTACCGCCGTCGGCTTGCTGCGTCCCGTTTGTGCTTTTGGCGGAGCTCCAGAACCTATGCTGTGCAACTAGTGGGTTGGTTTTTTGTCAAAGCAGCGTGCTCAGTCACTGAAGTAGAGCTCGCAAAATCGAACGTTAGGGAGGCAAACTGTAGCAAAAACAGCGGAAACGTTTTCAACTGCATACATTTTTCATGAAGTAAAATCTAATTTGTTGATGATTTAGATAGTCTTACAAGCGCGGTTATTTAACCGCAACAGCAGCGCTATTCACCAGACTGGCATGCTTTGTTTCCTCTAGGGTTCAGGTAAGTCACATTGGCCAGGAGATGAATGTTTCACTTTACCTGAGGTCATTGTGAATTATTAAAAATGCATAAAGCCTTCTCGTGATGATGCCAGAAGCAAAGCCTTTATTATTGGTGCACGTGGAGATATAGCTGAAAAGCTGGGGCTAGTCATGTCCTTTTTTATGGAGTATGCAGCTAGAAATGTATGAGCAATAGAGATCTGAGCATGGTGAATCTTTGTAACGCTTTCCAAAATGGACACAGCACAGGCGTTAAGTTGAAGGTGTATGAAATCATCTTGCGTTGAAATTACGTTGTCCCTCCAAAGTTTCATGTTTTCTAAGCAAAGCACGTAAATACGTCAATGATAGTCAAGAATCATATTTTTGATCCAAAATGTGGAAACATTTTAATTCTTGGGTTTGAGATCCACAATCAGTGAAGACTCCTAAAGTTGAAATAAGAGAATTTAGCCGACACAAAGGTAAGAACTACCTTATCTGCCTTGTTATCAATGCACGGAACTTTGAATGGGGAACTATTGCCAAGAGAAGGCAGATAAACCTCCATTGCGAAGAACAGTGCTATTGGGTCAGCTTTACTCTCCCTCCAGATAATGAAGACACCGATGGTATGCTTTCTCCACCGCCCCACTCCACAGGAAGCCAGTACACCAGACAGCCGAATAATTTTGCTCCAGGAACTGGTCTCCCTGCAGCTCAGCCGTTGGAAGAACGTCGGCGAAAGAAGAAAGAAGAACTTCTAGAAGAGGCTATGGAGGCCCGTTTGCCTTTTGCTCAGTGGAACGGACCCACCATCGTCGCTTGGCTTGAGGTCAGCCTAAATTTCCCTACGTCCCTTACAACTCCTCTGGACTCTTTTAAACTGCCTTTATTGCAAATTTCGAAATCACCGAAGTTTGCATGCCTAACTTGTATGCGATATAGTTCAAAAGTCACCGTTTAAATTATCAGAATTATGGATACTTCGAGATGGACTAGTTAACTTTTGACCCATTCACTTATCTAACTGGGGAAATATGCGGAGTGGTAAATGTTTGTAGGTGTACGTATAGTCATTCGCTGCTTTAATCGCCGAAACAGTG